GAGATACTGGCACAGGCAGTGGCACAGGTAGCAGCAGACATACTGGCACAGGCACCAGGGGAGGTACCAGCACAGGTGCTGGCACAGCTGCGTGGGCACATGGCTCCATGTGTGTGCAGGGGAGGAACTGACACAGGGTTTGAGCAGAGTTCAGAGCTGCTGCCCTGGGCCTGTGATGGCACAAGGGAGAGGCAGCGAGCACAGCCTCAGACTCCTCACCCACCTCCACCTCCATCCCACTTCGTCCTCCAGAAGCTGCTGGCCGAGTGCCAGGACCAGCAGTGGTGCCAGTTCTCGGTGCACAGCCAAGTCTTTGGGCCGGACCCATGTCCTGGGACACACAAGTACCTCATCGCTTCCTACAAGTGCCGGCCAGGTGAGGTGGAGCGGGTCTTGGCAATGCCACGCGGGCTCTTTCCTGGCCTGGGTGGCTCAGAAAGGGGCAGAGTGGGGAGCCGAGATGCTCCTGTGTCTTGCAGCCCTCCCCCAGCTCTGCCCCTGGCAGCTCTCAGATTCTTGGCCGGACTAAGGGAGGAGGGGGCTGCAGGTGGTTTGGGATGCATTGAGACGCTCTCTGGTGTCACTGCCCAGGGAACCATCGGGTCAAGACCGTGTGTGAGAACGACAAGCTGAAGCTGCAGTGCCGACCAAAATCCATCCTAGCCATTTACTCTGCAAATTATGGACGATTCCTGCGGGGCAAACCAGAATGCGATGCCCTGAACGCTGGGGGACCCCATATAGGTACATTGGAACAGCTGGAGCCAGAAATTGGGCCAGGAGCCATGCAGGACCTGTGGCACAAGTACGCCATAGGGCTGTACCTGTGCCCCTTGGCCCCAGCTGGCTGGCACCCAGCGGGCAGGGACAAGCAGGTCTGCCCACGGGTCCATGTCCCATGTACTTGCAGAGTGCCTGGCTCCAGATGCCCTGCGGAGGGTCTCCAAGAAGTGCCACCGCAAGGGGAACTGCACTGTGGCTGCTGACCAGGCCACCTTTGGGGACCCGTGCCTCCCTGGCATGAAGAAACAGCTGCGGGTCTCCTACACCTGCGGTGAGAGCCACCTGCGGGGCTGGGGGCGTGAGAGCCACCAGCTGAGCCCCCATGCCATGCAGGCAGGGGCACAGGGCTCCCTGGGGAGGCAGGGGCTGCTGCGGACAAGCAGGGTGGTGATGCTCTGTGTTTGCTCTCCTTGCAGTGCCCAAGCAGCTGCTGGAGGAGGTGGGCCATGACACCTCGGACCCCTTCCTGCTCTCAGACTACATGCACGGTAACGTGGGGGTAGGCCGTGCCAAAAGTGATGCTGCACCCTGTCCGTGCCCGGGTAGACCACCCCTTCCATGGCCTGTCTGCATCCGTGGTACCCCCCACTGGCACGAGCCCCGCAGCTCCGGCCCGGCATGGCTCTCCCATGGCTGAAGCCATCCATCAGTCTGTGTGACCGACTGCGGGGGTAGAGAGACCTGGGAGCAGGGCAGAGGAGGGGGGCACTTGTGCAGGAAGGTAGGAGCACGGTGTGGGGACAGAGGCAGGCAGGGGCAGGCAGCCGGGCGCTGGGCAGCACCTCGCCTCAGCCCACGTCCCCTTGTTCGCTGCAGGTGGCTGGTACAAAGGGCCCAGGTTCTCCAGGCTCCGGGAAGACCGGATGATTTTTACTAGCTCTCTGGCAGCTTTCGCCCACCTTTGGGGTACGTGCCCTCCCCAGCTCTCACGCAGCACCTGGGGGAGTGGGACGGGCTTGGGAGGGTGGCTCAGGTCCCAGGATGGCCCCCACTCAACCCAGGGCTCAGCGCAGAGCCAGCCAGACGCCTACTCTGGCACATGAGGGAGGGGTGCACCGAGTGCCCATGCTGGCATTGGGGGGGCCACATAAGGTGGGAGCTTGGGGGTTGAATGAGCCCCAAGGTGCCACAGCATCAGCAGCCACTGTGCTGCTGTGGTCCTGCCCGTGGATATTCCCTCTCTGGCCAGCTGAATTACCCACCGGGTCTCCTTCCTTCCTGCCCTGTCTGCACGGGCACTGTCAGAGAGCACCTCTCTGCAGGCAGAAATCTCCCTTATCAGGGGAAATTACTCATCTAAATCCCTAGCAAGACGATTCCTCTCCCTGTGCTGCCTACCCTACATACCAATGGGGGTTTCCTGTATGGTTGTTTTGGGACACTGGTGGTTGCTGATGGAGCTCTGGGTGATGCTTCAAAGACCACTGGGGCAGGGTCTGTCCTGCTCCTGCATCCCAGGTGATGAGGGCATCCCTGCTCCCCTCCTCTTCCTCCCATGTGCCTGACAGAGGAGGTTTTTGAGGCACTGATACCCCACAGGGTGCAGAGGTGGTTTGTACCCTGGTGTTTCTCTTTGCTCTTCACCCCTCAGGTGTTCCAGAGAAAGTTGGCCTCTACTTCCTTTGCGGGGTTTCAGGAGGCCTCATGCTCTTGCTGTGCATCATCAGCCCCAAAACGACCTTCCTCCAGGAGGTTGGGGAGGCTCTCAAAGACCCAGAGCTGGGAAGCAGCTCGGAGCTGAACAGGACCAAGCTACGGGACGAGCAGGACGAAGACCTCCCTGATGACAGCTCCTCTGACTCCTCCTTCCGCCGCCTCACCCGCACATACCGGGCCACCGACAGCATCTTTGGCCCTGAGCTGACTGCAGCCATGGAGGGAGCAGCAGAGCACCAGGGCTGTTCTGGGGAGGAGATCTGGATGCCCAAGGAGTCAAGCCCATATGCCATCCACAAGATCAAATCGGCCACTAAATAAGAACTGGAAGAAAATGGCTGAAGAGCAGAGGGGGGCAAGGATGAGTGGGATCCAACATCAGAGAAACACAAGAGTTTGGGCTTCTCAGGGTGAGTAGGCATCCCGAGCAGCAGCAGGGCCACAGCAGCCCCAGCACGGCCACCAACCCACTGCTGCAGCATCCTGGAAACCTCTAACCTGGAGGCAAGATGCGGTCCCTGGGTGTGATGAGGAGCTGCAGGACGACTCGTGGGGCTGCTGGCTCCTTTGCCACAAACACGATGCTAACCCTAATCTAACCCTCCCCACTCTCAGCTCACATCAGCTGGCTCTAGTTTCTAACCCTGCTCAGCCACGCCGAGCCCACCCGGAGCCTTTGCAGGCTGTTTGCTCCTGCTTCACCTCGGGTGCTGCCAGCTGCCCCCAGCCCTCGGGCGGCGTGCCGGCAGGGACGGCCAGGATGTGGGGCGGGCACAGGGGGAGCCGGTGGGAGAGCATCCCGTACCACGCTGCGTGCCTCACAGCCCTGCACCCCAGGGGAGCATCCCCCCGCAGCTGGGGCAGCTCTCCCCTCCTGCCTATGCTCAGGAGCTCTGCCACCCTGCGTTGGTTGCTTTGTGCTTTCCTTCACGCTTCCCCCACTGGCAGGAGAGCCCCGGGGTTAATTCTCTGGGGCTTTTCCCTGTAAATAAATGCAACAGCTCGTAGACACCATGTCCTGCCCTGACCTCTGCCGTTAACAGTGAAAAGGGAGGGAAAGGAAGTGGCAAAGCTCAGTTCTCCCTGCATGGATCAGCTCCTTGCCTCCCACCCGTGCTTCTGGTGCTGGGTGACAGGGCGTAACATGTTGGGCCTGTTTTAGCATGGGAAAGGATGTTTTAGCCTGGGGAAGGGAAAGGGGGGGAAAGGAATCCATATGGATCCCATGAATGATGCCTCCCTGCCCTTGCTCCTTCTCTTAAGCCTGAGGCTCTCTGTCTAGTAAGCAACCCTGGAGCAAACATCTCCAGCTGCCATGCAGATGGGCTTCTCGGCAGCCCCACGGTGCCAGGGAGCCAGGCTGGGTCTGGGGGCTGCTCCAGGTCTGGGAGGCAGCACAGGCTCCATAGCGCTGTGGGAAGGGGCTGGATGGAAGCAGTGACCTGGCTCATCTTATGTTTGGGCTGACCCAGGCACCGATGCTCTTGAGCTGCACGTAGCAGAGTCTTGTTTTTTCCATCTGCAGCCGCACGTGAGGCGTCTGGGCTGGGTGCAGCAAGGGAGATCTCAGCATGTGTGGCGCAAGCCGCAGCCCCTGCGCTGGGGCCCGGCTTCCCCAGCGCCTCCAGAGGAGTGGCAGCACGGCGGGGACTGGAAAAGCCGGCTTCCCCCTGCCAAGCCTGGGCAGGACGGGCAGACACGGG